TCTGTGCCCCTCTCTCCTTAGCCCAGCCTCACCCAGCTGAATTCTAATCCCTCTTGCTCTACCTATCTCAACCCAGCTCTGCCTACTCCAGCTGTGTTCTATCTAGCCCAGCTTAGCTTTGCCCTACCCACTTTAGCCCAGTCCTACCTACCCCAGCCACACCCAGTGTAGTTGGCCAGCCAGCAGTGCCCCACCCAGGTCAGCCCAGCCCTTACCCCACCCATCCCCCTGCCTAGCCCTGCCCACTTCTGCCCAGCTCTGCCTAGTTGTTCCCTACCTACTTCACCCCAGTCCCACACAGTCTGGCCCTTCCCCATCTCACCCAGTAGAGCAGGCCTCTGCGTCTGCACTATAGGTCCCCTGAGCAAAGCAAGACCCCAAGACATGGCTTTCTCTACCTTAGCCCTTTTCCAGCTCCAGACTCCAGGCATGAGTGTCCCCATCAGCCACCTTTTCTGGGCAGCTACCTCTAACCACCACCCCACCCCATGGTCTTCCTATAGACCACTCCCTTCTGCCTCCTGGTTATTCTGGCACCAAGGCTATCTTCCCAAAAGATGAGCCTGGGGTTAAAATGCAGTGTGCCATCACTGGCAGAGTTCAGTCTACCAGCTTGGCATATGGGCCTTCCTGTCTCCACTCTCCAGCCTTCAGACATAAATAGAAGGGCTCTATCTACAGGCTGGTGTTGTTCATTCTTGACCATGCCTACAGCAGTGAGGGACCTGAAGCCCCTCTCCAAGGGGGAGTCACCTCACATTGCCTGGTTCCCAATGTGTCTGGCCAAAACCCAGCCAGTACTGAGCCAGTACTGTTTACTCCTTGACAGGTGAGGCTATGGGCAGGGCCAGTGTGGTACCTTTGCCCTATGAGAGGCTGCTCAGGGAGCCAGGGCTGCTGGCTGTGCAGGGACTGCCTGAAGGCCTGGCCTTCCGGAGGCCAGCTGAGTATGACCCCAAGGCGCTCATGGCCATTTTGGAGCACAGCCACCGAATACGGTTTAAGCTCAGGAGGTGAGTAAGCCTGTGTCCTAGTTTCGTTTCCTTTCGCTGTGTTAAAAATACCAACAAAGGCCCATTAAGGAAGAAAGGGCTCACTCGGCTCATGATCCCAAGTTACAGTCCTTCACTGTAGGGAGGTCAAGTCACCAGGAATTTGAAGCAGCTAGTCACATTACATCCATAGTCAAGAGCCAAAAGCAGTGAATTCAGGCATGTATGCCAGCACTCAGCTTGCTTTCTCTACTCTTAGACAGTTCAGAATCCCTTGCCTAGGGAATAATGACACCCACGGTGGGCTGGGCCTTCCCACCTCGGTGTAATCAGGACAATTTCCCTACAGACATGCCCACAGGCTAGCCTGGTCTAAATCCCCCTTTGTGACTCTCTTCCCATGTGATTGTAGACAATGTCAAATTAAAACAGTTAAAACTCTCAGGGTGCAGTGATGCACGGCTTAATCTCAGCACTTGTAAAGGAGAGGTAGGTGGATGTCTGAGTTTGAGGCCACCCTGGCAGATTCCAGGAAAGCCAGGACTACGTGGCAGATTCCAAGCCATAGTGAGATTGTCTCCTTCCCCCTTCCCACCCCCCCCAAAAAAGGCAAACAAATCTGTCACACCCCATACCCAGCCAGAGAGTAGAAAGCTGGAGATAATCTGAGGGAAAGACTTTGGGTCTTTGGGAGGCATCAAAGCTAAGGCCCAGCCATACAGTGTAATCTGAGTCAGGGCATGGCTATGGAAGTTTCCCAAGGGACTTCTGTGTTACTGTGTCCAGAAGAATTCTGGCTTAGGAAAGAGTCACACCAAAGGATGTGCAGCAGTCAGGAACAAATGATGGTGTGTAGAATTGACATTGTCATGTAGGGATATGTACCTCTAATCCCAGCATTTTTGAGAAGTGGAGGTAAGAGGATCAAGAGTTCAAGGTCATCCTCAACTATATAGTAAGTTTGAGATGACCTTGGCTACATGAGACCTTTATCTCAAAAACATGAATTGATTTTAAAAGTCTTGAGCTAGGAGAGCCTCATGGCCTGGATGTGAGTTTGGGCTGTGAATGAGATTCGTGAAAGACTAATGGGAGGTGAGGTCAAGGCTGGGCCAAGGTGAATACCATGGACCCAGCATAGCTGGCGACTTTATGTGGCGTATCACTGCTAAATCTTCCCCAGCAGTACATGAGCAGGTATGAGGAGGGAGAGATGGGATGGGAAGGAACCAGGTGGAGGATGGGATTAGTGGAGAACTGAGGCAGCTTGGTGCAGACCTGATGTCAGGTGCATTATGCCCAGGCCACCACCAGGCTTGCATCCCTACCTATAATGTAGGGCCTGGCTCCCATCCCATCTCTTTGAAATACCCTTAGTAACCCAGGTCTGTTACATCCTGTAGAGTGTTACATGGGCTGTGACGGGAGAGACTGACAAGAAGAGGAATTCAAGGCAGTCACTATCTCCTCTCCTTTACCCAGGCCTCCTGATGATGGTGGGCGGGACTCAAAGGCGCTGTTGGAGATGAACGGTATCTCCCTGCTGCCCAAGGGATCCCGAGACTTCGGTCTGTATGGCCAGGCCTCCAAGGTTACTCCCCAGGACCTGCCCCCCACCGCCACCCCATCCTCCATGAGCCCAACCACACCATCCGGGAACTCAAGCAGGAGGCGCCCACCTGCCCGTTGACCCCCAGCGACCTGAGCTTGGGCTGGCCTATGCCTGAGCCCCAGGTCCCCAGTGCCCAAGATTTCTCCGACTGCTGTGGTAATGCTGCAGTGGGGGCCTGCATGTCTCTCTGGGTGGTTGCCTCTAAGGAGGAGGCATTTCTGGGCAGGGGTGGGTTTTGCCCATTCCTCTCTGTTGAGAACCTATTAAACTGGGGCTTCCAGTTGACCCTCTAGATAGACCTTGGAGGCTGGGAAGAGCATAAATAGCCTAATCAGGGATGGTGATGTGGTCCACCTGGTAAAGGGGCTTGATCTGAGTTCCATCTCTAAGACTCCTGCAGTGGATGGAGAATTTTGGATCCCACAACTTGTCCTCTGACCGCCACACATGCATCTTGTGCACATGCACACACCCGTAAGAGATGAGAGCCATTAAAAAAGGAATAAAATAATCAGCCCATATGCATTTAATGAGCGCCTGCTGCATACCCTGCTTGAATTCAAGATCTAGGGACCTAAGAGAAGGAGCAGGGGGTATGAAGATGTGGGCTCTATCCTGGCTGTGTGTGCCAGGGAAAGTCTCAACCTCACCAAGTCTCATTTTCCTCATTTGCAAAATGGAATGCTTATGGACTGTCCCTTATCTAAGATAGTTGGGATCAAGATTCCTAAAGCAGCCAGGCAGTGGTGGTGCACGCCTTTAATCCTAGCACTTGGGAGACAAAGGCAGGCCGATCTCTGTGAGTTTGGGGGCCATCTTGTTCTACAAAGCAAGTTCCCAGACAGGCACAGTTGTTATACAGAGAAAGAATGTCTGGAAAACAAACAAACAAACAAACAAAGATTCCTGAAATAAATACTTCAGACTTGGGTGTTGGAGGACATGGCTCAGTTGACCAGGCACTGGCCTAGCTAAGGCGTTTCTCACCAAGCCCAATGACCTCAGTTAAATTCCTGGGACCTACAAAGTAAGAGAGAACCACCTCCCTTGAATTGTCCTTTGATCTTTATAAATAAATGAATAAATGTAATCAAAAGAATGAGAAAAGAACTCTCATGGTGCCTGCCCCTGGGTATCCAAGTCTGGTAAAGAACAACTGAGATCTGTAGTTAGGGGGTCTGGCCTAGAACCTTGGGATCACAGGGCTCAGTTCTAGTTTCTCTGAGGTATGTGGGACCCCCTCCAAAATGTATGCCTCTCTTTCCCCCTTGTTTAGGACAGAAGCCCGCAGGACCTGCTGGGCCTCTCATCCAGAATGTCCATGCTTCCAAGCGCATCCTCTTTTCCATCGTCCATGACAAGTCAGGTAGGCCGACTCCCTTGGCAGTGACCTGGTCAGAGTGACTTTCTGTGATGAAAACAGGTCCATTAGATATTGGTGAGAAAGGAAATGAACAGTTTTGCCCAAGGGACTGGGAGTCAAACCTGGGTGTAATAGCCATGGATGTCACAAATATCCCCAAACTTGAGCTTTAAACAAATGTTTGTTACTACATAGTTTCTATGTGTGTATTAGTTTTCTCATTGCCATGGAGTTACTTTTCTCTTTGCTGTGTGATTAAGATAGCTGACAAAAAGTAACTTAAGGTAGAAAGACTTGGTTGTAGCTCATAGTTTGAGGGGCTACAGCCCATCAGAGTGCAGAAGATATAGTGATAGGAGTATGAGGTGGCTGGTCATAGAATGTTCAGCTTGATTTCTTCTTTTTATATGATCTGGGATCTCAGCTATGGAGTGGTACTGCCCACAGTTAGCGTGGGTCTTCCCAACTTTGTGAACCCAGTCTAGAAAGTCTCTCACAAACAACATACCCAGAGGGTCATTTCCATGGTGATTCTGAATCCTGTCAAGTTGCCAAGCAAACCTGATTATTATCACAGCAAATGAGGAAGTAGTTTGTAGTATAGGGTCTCTCACAAGCTTGTATGATGGTGTCAGCTGGACTGCAGTCTAATCTGAAGGCTTGACTAAAGCTGGAGAGCCATGTGTAAGGTCACCCTTGCAGCCATGGGTAAGAGACTTCAGTTCTAAACCATCTGGGCTGGTTTATTTACATCAGGTCAGCTGAGCAGGCTCAAAACATGGCAGCTGGTGTTCTCAGACTTGGTGGTCCGAGACAGAGAAAGGAGGCCTGTTTTTTCATGACCCCACTTCAGAAATGACCTCATTTCTGCCCCATTCTATATGTGAGAAGCCCAAAATGTTCCAGCCAGTGCTCAGAGAGGGAAGAGTTGTATTCCTCACTAGAGAAGAAATACCAAATAAGTTAGGTGTGTGCCTTAACTTCAGCCCTCAGGAAGCAGAGGCCAGAGGATCTCTGTGAGTTCGAGGCCAGTCTGGTTTACATAGAAAGTACCAGAGGAAAAAAAGAAAAAAGAAAAGAAAGTACCAGGCCTGCCAGAGCTATGTAGTGACACCCTGCTTCAGAAAGAAAGAAAGAAAAAAAGAAAAGAGAGAGAGAGAGAGAGAGAGAGAGAGAGAGAGAGAGAGAGAGAGAAAGGAGTGAGGTGTGGGTAGCTCCCAGCACTTGGGAGCTGAGGCAGGAAACTCTCCTTTGAGGCTAACCTGGGCTATGCAGTAAGGACCTGTCTCTAAAGACTAGAAAAGAAGACTGTATGTGGAGGCTGGGAATGTGACAGAATAGTCGCATATATTTTTTAGTCACCCAGTGAGGGGCACGGGGTGTACCTCAGCACTAGAGCGCCTGCCTAGAATTTCTCAATGAGGGGCTGGGAGCTTGGCTGGACAATAGATGACTTCTCTAGCATGTACATGTACTGGCACTACCTAATTTCCTAGGCACAGTGACACATACCTGTCGTGCGTCCCAGCACTCACGAGGCTGAGGCAGGAGGATTTCAAATCCAGTCTAGCCTGGTCTATGTAGTAAGATTCTCCTTCCTCAAGAGACGTGGCTTTCCCAGGCTTTTGCCTGCCTGAGGTAGTGTGGTGTGGGGAGAGACAGATCTGAGCCTGCACGACTATGGGAGATGCAGAGGGGACACTGTCTGAGCACCCTAAATTGCATAGGGGCTGAGGTGACAATGGGTGGGAGGGCTGTGTGCTTTAGAATGGCACCCTAGACTTGTGGAAGGAGAGTGGCAGGAGCTGGGGACTCTGACAGGACGCGGCCCCCACT